ACGATCCAGATGGTCCTAGCGATGGCACCTCAGCAAAACTGGGAGATACACCAGGTAGATATCAAAAGTGCTTACCTGTACGCCAGCATCCAGGAGGAAATATATGTGTGCCCTGCCCGGCTACTTGAAGGAGGATCAGCATGGAAAGGTGTTCAGGCTGAGGAGGAGTTTGCCTGGCCTGAAACAAGCAGGATTCGAGTGGGCCGAAGAACTATCGGGTGTGTTCCTAACGTTGGGATTCAGCAGGTCCAAAGTTGACCAGGCCATATACTACAAATGTACCTCCAACCAGCATACTGTCATCATGGTGTCCATGGATGACATGGCCATGATGTCAAACGATGTGGCCCATATCCACCAGTTCAAGTCCGAACTCCAGCAGTATTTCGAAATATCAGACCTGGGAGAGTTAAATTGGCTGTTAGGGCTGAAGGTAACAAGGGATAGAGTGGCACGTACCATTACCCTGTCCCAAAAGGCATATGTCATGACCATCGTCGAACATTTTCATTTGGGCGATGCCAAGAATGTACAGACCCCAATGGAGGCTACAATGACCCTGTCAGTAGAGTAAGGCCCCATGACTCATACCAAAATCCAAGATATGCGCGACATACCCTATCAGAGGGCCATTGGGTCACTGATGTATGCGGCCACCAGCACGCGGCCAGACATCGCATTCACGGTTGCGACATTGTCGCAGTTCATGAGGAACCCCAGCAGACCCCATTGGGAAGCTGCAAAATGGTGAAGGTGAGGAATTTTGACTATAGGTGAAAGCTCTAAAAGCTAAAGGGTGCTCTACAGCAAGACCAGGATGCGAGACAATGACTCGACCCTAAGGACAACTACTGAGAGAAGTTCCTCAGTGATAAAATAGAGGGAAACTCTACGAGCTAGGCGGGCGCTAGCAGGTGTGAGAAGGTAACGCACGTGGAGGCGCACATGAGCGAGGTGAAGGTGCACAGGATGTGTGCATGAGTGGGAGGTTCAAGGGGCGTGCGCACGGAACGAAGGCGCATTCCGAGCGATAAGAGGAAGGGCTCCTTAAGGAGTAGTAGATGCGTGAGTGTTGGTCAATGGAAAATTATAAATTGATTTCAAGCAAGGAGGTGCACTATACACTTTTGCAGTATACTGAGATAAGGGGAAAGTAAGTACCAGAACCGAAAGAGCTCTCCCTCTATTTAAGAAGAGAGATTATGCTGTAGGGATTCATTTCTGGCTGGGCTGGTAGAGACTGTTTTTACCTTACCTTATGTTGGCACTTTTGTAGCTTACATAAGCAAGTAATCTTTTCACCAGTTACCAGTATGAGTCTGAGTGCTCAGCAGTTTTCTATGATATTTCCTCTCCTCTGAGCCTGAAGCCTAGTCCAGAAACCCTTTAGGGTCGAATAGCAGCTAGGTTCTGCAAGACTCAACATTGTTCAGACTCACCATCTGAATTGTTGTACCTTCAACGCTATGCGGCGCACTTCCGAGTGCCATATCAACTCTAAATATATCCTAAGTTTAAATAACTCTATATATGTAAGCGCAGACATTGGACCGAAGGTTTGTTAATTCAATGGAGGAGATAAGAATAGCGCTGTAGAAGAGGAATGGGAAGTGGGTGAATATAGGTAGTATGAGATAACTCAAGTAGTCCTCGGTGAGCGAGATATACGTCGGCCCAAGGGGATTGCTACTGAGAAGGTTCCTCTAGGTGTATAAAACGGAGGGAAACACTGAACCGGGCGCTTGGTCAAGCCTGGTTAGGCGCGCGACGATGAGCGATAGCGGCCGACGATAGATATCGACGCGCGACTTATAACGGAAGCGGAAGCGGTGCGCATGCGGGTGGTGGAGCGCAGCGACTCTCGATGAGTCAGAATACGAATGGACAGAGTTTCTAGTAGTGTACGGCGGCGGCGCTCGTATTGTACTTAGATACTTTTGAGTTTTTAGAGGTTAACTTAGACTTATAGTCCAACGATGTGTGGGCAGAAAAAGATCCCTATTACACGATTTATACACGTCTATATATACTAAGTAATGATAAGCGCTGTCAAGCGTTAAAGCGAACTGAGAAGCGAAGCGGACGCGAGATAATATGTAATAAAGGGTCCATAACAGAAAACATACGAAATATGGCCATAAGCGCCGGAGATATGTTAGAATCAGTGAAAATAGAATCGGAATATGCACCGACGAACCGAACGGACATGGAATGGATGGACGGAGGATGTGCGACGGAACCGAGGATGCGCGACTAAGGAGCGACTGGAGCGCTGGCGCTTGCGAGCGGCCGACGATGCGCTTGGGCGCACTGTGTGAGATATGAGTCGTGCTATGTTGGGAAGTGATAGTAACAATGGGATTTTAGATCCCTGCAAGGCCACAGAGATATTAGTCTCTACAGCGCACCAGTAAATCAGCAAGGACATGGAACAGATGGATGGATGATAGGAGCGCAGAAGCCTAAAGGGACGCGCGCAAAAGGCGCGAGTGTGTGTATGATGCATGAGTGAGGCGCGTACATGGGGCGTGCACATGAGAGCACAAATGACTAGTCCTTTGGACAAGAGCTGGTACATGTAGGAATTTTAGTGGATAACAAGGCCGTATATCCAGCATTGAGAGGTGCGAGTCTCTACAACAGGCCCTCCATTATCTAAAAGCCACTGACAACATGGAACTTACCCTAGGAGCAACAGACACGGGCCTAGCAGCCTTCATTGACACCAATTGGGCATCCCAGCTGCACAGACATTCAATGTCAGGGTACATCGTTATGTTCAACGGTGCACCCATAGCCTGGAGTGCAAGGAAGCAGCCGTTAATAGCCTTATCAACGGCAGAGGCTGAATATATCGCACTTACCAGTGTGGTGCGTGAGCTCCTCTTCCTACAGCTCCTCATAGGTGAACTCTATGAAGCCCCAAATCTCCCAATCCCCATATACTGTGATAATCAAGCGGCCATCATGTTAGCCTCGAACAGGAAGTTCCAGTCAAGGACAAAACACATCGACTTATGATACCATTTTGTCTGGGGACACGTCAAAAGTGGCATCTTCCAGCTCTTCTATTGTCCCACAGAGGACAACATAGCTGATGCCTTCACCAAAGCCCTACCACGACCCAGACTGCAGAGGTTGAGAGGAATGATGTGCTTGGATAGTGCTCAAGGGGGAGTGCTGAGAGCCAATGAAGCTGAGGACACTAAGGCCGAGAGGGGAAGAGCCAAAGGGGAAAATGGGAGTACAGCCGATGAATGAGGCAGCTCAAGGTGCGAGTACCATCAAATGGAGAATCCAGACGACGTGTCAACATTGGCAATCTTTTTCATTCTTTTAGTATATGCTTTCATCAAAACTCCTGCTGGCGCACTCACCATATAAAAGGAGCCAGCCGTCATCGTGACATCTCAGATTCATGAACCGAATACTGAGATGTGAGTAAAAGTCCTAGTTCGACATTAATACAAGTACTGATGTACACGTAGTCTTACCTTTGTGTCTAGGTAAAAACATATGTCAATAGAGATTTGTGAACTGAATACTGAGATTCTTACCTTTGTGTCTAGCTTCGCATGTGTGCCCCGCTATACTCACAATAGTCAGAGTCTCCATTTCAAGCTCTCTCAAGATTTTACAGCGGAAATGTGTTCATGTTTCCGATCGATTTATCAGAAAAGCTCAGTAGGACTGGTGATGACATTCGTCTCACCTTGCTTGCTCGTTAGATCTGTGGCATGTATGTATATGCGAGGAGTGTGTGTATTATAACCAACAAATCATCAGATGAATGCAAAGGATATATGTACTTGGTGATACATGAATGATTGACAGCAAACAAAAATAGTCAGTAGCAGGAGTGAAATTTGATTGCATTTCATAGTCATACTCATTCTCATCCTCCTCTTCTTCTTTGGCAGGCTTTGTGACCATGTCTAATTGAGAAATGGAGCTCGTGGAGCCTTGAGTCAAGGTTCCAGGAGTTCTGCTTCTGCGTCAGACTAGTTGGGTATGATGCGGCGTCATACCCAACTAGTCTGACGTAGAAGTGGAATGCCAGGGTGCCCATAGCTGTCAACCGTTCACACGTGTGGCATGTGTGAACGATCGACAGCTGTAAGGATGACCAATCGTTTGTCGCCGGAAATAGCCGAATCAACGCTCACCGCTACCACCACCTCACATCACCGGCGCTCACCACGACCAAGTCCTTGTCGGCCGTTATAGCACTAAAACTCTCGTTCGCATCTCTCTGTTCGTCCCCGTCGCTCTGCTCGCAACCGAGCCATCTAAAAACTGTCAAAACCTATGCATGCTCTCGTTATCCTGTCAAACCATACCCATTCAAACCTCCGCTCGCTCGTTTTCGTACTCTTTCGCTTATATCTACCCTACCTTCTCGGATGCGACAATTCTCTCTTCGGACTGCGTTTTTCGCATTTAATTTCGGACTAGCCATCAATAAGGACCCTTACTATTCTAACAGTATAAGTAGCCCATGTACAGTCCATACTGACAGGCAATCAGATCTAGTCACGCAGTCTCGCTCTCGCACTCCTTGATATATCTATAACTCTCGTCTAAACGTCTCAAAATCATCACATTCCCTTTATCTAAAACGTTCACTAATAACTATCTAACTCTTTAGCGCTCGTACATCCTCCAGCAGTCTCCCCACCCCTTCGCACTCGCGAGTCCGACACCGACTTACACAGCTGTGAGTGCCTCTCATAGGAATCATGTCTCGTATACCTAATCACCACAAAATTAATGAGATGTGTCAATCATAAGAGTTGGGATACGCACGACTTGGAATAAACGAAGTTCTCTTTGTTTTAAGTCCTGCGTATCTTTAAATCTATTTAGTTTGGGGCCTAGGTGTTTTCCCGATCTTGTGTGCTTATGGTAGCTGTCAGGTCCGATTACTTTGCCATCTATATCCATGTTTGCTCAATAGATGGAAAAGTAATCGGACCTGAAATGTCCAACAGAAGGCTAGCATGGTTGACCTCCTGAAGAAGCATAGTCATGCAGGTACTCTGTTTGAACTTGATCTCAATCATTTAGTCAAGGTCCAGAGCCCAATTGCGAAGTCTATCGTATGCCTCGAATCTTCTCAATCGGATCCGTCTGATGTCTATAAATTTCTTCTCGCCATCACAAGCATGCTCAAGCAGCTGTTTGATGACTCTTCACATGGCTTTACCAATGAGGAAAAAGAGCAGATACGCGCGGTCGTGAATAAACGCTTCCGTGAGATTATTCAGGAGGGTCCTGCAGATTGTTATATAGCTGCATTCTTTTTGGATCCTCGTAAGTCCCCTTCTAATTGCATGTCTCCGTTTCTGAACATTGTCACATTACATACAGGCTATGTCGGCTGTGACATGCTTCGAAGGTCTCTCAATCCCCTCGCACCCACTATCACAATTCCTCCACCCATACCACGCACACCAGAGGAGACAGTTCCAAATCAAAGGGTCTTTGGTCGTGTTATGAAGTATTTGAAGACAGTCGTTGAGCCAGAATGGAAATCGAAAGACAATCCAACACTGAAGGGTCTTACTCGTTTGCAGGTACAGGAGTCTTTTGTCCGTCAGTTGCACCGTTATGCCCGCCTTCAGTATCCCTTTGATGCTCCAGTCGAAGCTGGCCAATCTATCTTGTCATGGTGGACACATCTCACTCGGATTCCTGAAGGTGCTGTCCTTGCAGTATGTTGTTGCTCGTCCATTGACATTGATCTTGTGCTAATCTATTGGCCCTTAGTGCATTGCACAGAAGATATTTTCTGTGAAGCCGAATGACATGCCTGAGGAACGTACCATGTCCGTTTTCACCCGAATGAACTCGGCCCTCAGAAATCGCCAGCAAGTCCAAACACTCGTAGATATGACACAGATCAGACAATGGCATATGTATGATCCCGAGGTCAGTATATCGTTTGTACACAGCACATTTCTAACACCTTGAATTTACAGAAATTCCGCTTGCGCGAGCAACCCACATTGGACTTTTTTGATGTTGAGCAGGTCATTTTCGGCAAAGGAAAGAGCACTGCTTCGCGGACGCACAGTATCACAGGAAGTTCGTTGATTATCGAAAACGGTGATGAACACGAGGAGATACTTGATGAAGATACTCATACCTGGCTCGATGACAAAATTGAAAACATGCCTGGTGATTCCACTTTCGATGCCGAGGAAGACATTGACTTAGACGTGCCGGAACTCACAAAAATTCTCGCTGATGATCCACCCCAAGGGAGTGTGTCGAAAGGTAAGAAGAGAGCAAATGGTGGCTTGCATTGATGACGCCGACGATGCTGATGGCGAATGGGTCTGGAAGTGAAATTGCCCAGCGCACAGAAGTTTTTTCATCAAGAATAGTTAATAACACCTGTTTTCGACGAGTTAGCTTGAACGAAAAAATCACGTGCCGACTGTCAATATGTGTTAAAAAATGTCAGTTAATAATTAACTGCCATCCTCCTGGGTTAATAACCCAGTTAATAACTGGCTGGATAATTTTTCACCGCACCCTAGAACACACGAATTTTCCTTTGGATTGACCATATTCATTAAGCACGGGTTTCTGTCCCAAGGTTTGAGAGTGCGACCTCAATGACAATGACATGAAAAACAAAAACTCACAAACAAACAACGGGTCGCTGTATTATACAGCGACCCGCTGTTTGTGAGTTTTTATTTTTCAGTTATATCTTGCCAGAGCATATTTTATTTTTCTTGGCCTTACGGTGTTTGCGGACTTTCGCGACGCGACCTGGTGCTTGAGGAAGAGATGAGGAAGTAGAGCCCATTGAAAGCCCAGGCCTGTGATGCTGATTGAGGATTCCTTGGTACGAGCATATGCGTGGGGGTTCGCACCTCATGGAATAGATGGGAAGGGTTGATGATACAGGGCGCACGCAGATGGGTCTTGTAGGGGATCAGCAGCATTTAAGTAGCAGTGAACATGAGTGGCGTGCAAAAAATCGCCCTTTGTCCCACGTGGTGCGCAACTCTAGCACCGCACCAAATCATCAGATCACTATGACAATAACAATAATATATAGCGATCATAATAGTGTGCATGCTATTGTGCCATGGACAATAGAAAGAATATCTGTACTTGGTAATACGTGAATGATTGACAGCAAACAATAAAACAATCAGTAGCGGTGAAATTTGGTTATGCATCCTTACATCTCATTAGCCTCCCAAAAATCAGAGTCGTCCTCTTCCTCTTCCTTTCCTTCTTCTAGTTGAGAGACAGTCACAGCAGTCGTGAAACTGGGTGTTCCACTCTGCACGTTTTGAGACATTGGCGGGGCAAACCTAGGGTACAGGCAAGCATATGCAAACACCATGGTAGGTGCTGCCACAGGTGCGGAAGAAGCAGATCTTCTGGAGTCTTGACTAGCTGGGTATGACGGTGGGGCGACCACAGCTGTGGCCCGTTCACACGTGCCATTGTCCAAATGTCTCTTGTAGGAATCACGTCTCGTATACCTAATCACCACAACATTAATGATGAGATGCGTCAATCATAAGAGTTGGGATACGCACGACTTTGAACAAAGAGAACATTTAATTCTCTTTAGTTCGGAGCCTTGGTGTTTGGCGGACATCGTGTGCTTACGATAGCCGTCAGGTCCAATTTTCTTTCCATCTATTGAGCATACGAATCTCCCTGTGGGTTGACCGTATTCATCAAGCACGGGTTTCTGTCCCAAGATTTGAGAGTGCGACCTCAATGAGATATAAAAAACTCACAAACAACGCGTCGTTGTATATCTTGCTAAAGCTTGTTTTTGTTTGTTTGACCTTGCGGCGTTTGCGGACTTTCACGACACGACCTGGTGCTTGAGGCAGAGATGAGGAAGCAGAGCCCATTGAGAGCTCAGGCCCGTGGTGCTGGTTGAAAATTCCTTGGTGTGGGATGGGTGGAGCGTACGCGTAAGGGTTCGCACCTCCCGGAATAGATGGGAAGGGTTGATGATATAGGGTGTGCGCTGGTGGGGGAGCAGCAGCATTGGGCGGTAGGTATTGGCCAATCTGAGTGGCGCGCGAGACATCGCCCACTGTAGGGTAATGACCATTTTGTCCCACTTGGAACGTGTGGTGCGCAACTCCAGCACCCGCATCAGTTGAAGGTACGACAGGCGTGTATGGGGGCGCAGGACCACGCATCCAATGAGGCGGCACACCGTACGGATGGTAGGTGGCGTAGCCTGGATAGGGAATGCATGCGGGCTCGGGCCCGGGTAATCGACCCATATGCATGCTAGTGTTTCCTATGTGATATGTTGCTTCGGAAGAATCTGAACTGTGTGGTGAGGAGGCAAGGGGGTGGATTGGGTCATCTGGAGGTGACAAGTAGATATAGTTAGAAAGCACAGACGTTGAAGCTGGGAGGACCGTACCTGGGCTACCATATAGTGATTTGAAATGTCAAGGTTGTTTGTACGCGTCCGTAGTGATAGAAAGTCCAGTAGATGAGGACCAGAGGATGAAGGCCACCGTTGTATATGCTCGTCCAGTGCTGGTATTCTTGAGGTTTGTTTCCACTGCTGGGAACTTCCTTTCGGGGAAGATTGTCTTTGGGGTGCCATTATTCTCTAAGTGGACGGTGGTTGTTTTGTTCGATGCGTCAGTTTTTCTTCCACACGAGAGTTGTTTAGTCTTGTTTCAAGTGCACGATGATAAAAAAAAGAAGTGCGCTGTGGATGAACCATGGAATGTTTGTGTTCCCCTGAGGTCAACAATCTGATTGGGGCATCACAACTTATGTTTCTGGCTCCGCGAAATAGTTGGATAATCGTAAGTCCATGGCCAATTCGCATGAGTGACAAGACTCATCAGGTCTCCACGAGTCATGTCGGTGCTCTGGGAGAAACAGTCTGGTGAACTGCTCAACAACTGTCACCAAGAACGAACCCACGCAAGGTGCAATAGGCGATGCAAAATTCAATGTACACCTCTCGCATCATGTTCTAAACCCGTAATTTTAGAGACAGCCAGCATCCCACTCGAGGACACTCAAGAGCGAAGCTTCACGGGAAAGATCACCATAACTGTATTTCCTTGCGCGTACTCACAATTTTATCTGGTTTCCTTTATTACACCTCTGACCAAGCTAGAGAATATTTTCGACCAAAATTTGATTTTCCTATCTTCATATCTACACAGTCGAGTTGAAGGAAATCGTCGCCTTGCAACATTAGTCGATTGACGTAAAGGTGTGTCTTTGCCAGCCAACTGAGAGCCTACAACCGATCGCTTTTTAGTGTTTGTACGAAGAGCAAGACAACATAATTCGCAAGGAATAATCTCCTGGCCAAGAAGGACGGGTGGTCCGGATACCGTGAACGGTAAAGGAGTAAAAATTCACTCACCCATGGCATCAACTCAAGGGAGCACCAGAAATGCCTTCACCGTTGAACAGTCATATCTGGCATTGCTTTGAACCGCTACGGCTCGTGAACACAGCACAGAAGCAACATACGCATGTCCTGGTGCGACCTGAATCCAGAAGTCTGGATCGGATGGAGCGACAGCATGTGCATGAAATAACTGGTTATAAAGATGAGATGTCATACCTGAGGACACAGGAGTATCTTTGACAACTGCAATGCACGACCAGCGCATTTGTATAGGCTTTCGAAGTGCGACCAAACGTCGACCAGGTAAGATTTCCGGTCATGACCATTCATGGTTCAGAGGCTTTCAATACTGATGTTTCGACCACGGTAAAGATCGATCGTCATTTCTTTGTCATATTACCTTCCTATTCTCCTCCTGCCAGTGCGCCTTACAGCTTGCGGTGCGTGTCAAAGATCCTCTGCGTCATTTTTGATGAGCCTACTCCCTGAGGCCGCACTCGCACCGACTTTGCAATGGTTTCGGATATAACGCGAGAGGTGCAGACACGCATTTGAATGACTGTTAAGCGTTAAACGGTCGTCAACTTGGTGCAGCAAAATGCGCTGTGAGTGCATGAAGAGAAGGAATACTGTTGGTTGACCCCCGAGTCGGTCCTCGGATTCTAAGCGTCACATCCGAATCCCGATAGCTAGCGTTTGTTGTACTGTTGTTTGATTGTTCACTCTCACGTTTGCATACTACAGCACACTACTTGGCCTACGAGAATCGCGAAGCTATGGATTATGATTCTACCGTGGACCCTCCTTGAAGACAAGCTTCATGCTCTGAACTTCCCCTTCTTTGGAACTCACGTTGCGCCGTGGCATGCGAGAACCACGCGGGTAGATACCGCTCCAAGGTCAGATCATATTCTGTAGATTGTTCTAGAGCAAGTTACGGTCATCCTCAGCTAGTAAGGATATATCGTGCAGAGATCCAAGGATGTGGAATCGCATCAAGTACTGGTGACTCATCACCGGAGCATTGTAGCCTCCTTTGTCCCTCTCAAGCCAGGTCCATATAACTTCGTGAACCTTGGCTCGTGCATTTCTCTTAGATCTATCCAAGTCAAAAATATCACTCCCTGAATCAGTGTCAACACCTGTATGAAGTTGAAAATCGAACAGTAAAACCGGGCTTACGAACGCGGCAGCCTGATAACATCCGAACCGGCAGTCAACAAACACAGGTGCGTTTATTCTGCCCTCCTGTCGAATTTCGTGAAGGCGATAAGCCACTCTTACTTACCAAAATGGACCGATGATCTCCCATGAATCTAACACATGTAGCACTGACCGAAGTCAATCATATTTGTGGATGAAACAATTTTTATCGTAGGGCCGTACGTCCTATGATCGGACCTAGGGTTTATTTCACGTCATGTACATGTGCATAAAAAAGTTCGCTGCATAATAAGTAGATATGCAGATTTCGAAGTTTGGCTCGCTTGATTAATGAAGAACGTTTTCTCACTGGTCGAATACATCAATAACGTCCGACCGAATTCACGATGTGTGCTCCCAAATTCACTGTTCAGACGGAGTGAAGTTGCTCCTTGCGAACAACCTGCGAGAAAATTTCCAAAGCTGCTTGGGGCTGGAAGGCAGCCTACCAATGACATAACAAGGATCAGCAGGTATCATCATTCTCAGGAGAGTTAACTAACCACTTCGTGTCCAGCACCAAACACCCGTCTAAAACGTAAAATAATGAGGTATGTCTCTTGTTAACAAGCTGAGATGAAAAATGACTCACGCAAAAGAGAAGTTGTCGACGTTCTGCACAGCCGCAACAGGCTTGCCGTCGATCGTCATATTGGTGAGTGGGGTATTGTGGAGCGTCTCGTTGCCATACCAATCCATCGCTAGAACTGACGCGTGGCCCTATTGGCGAGAATAATTCAGCGAAGTTGGCAGAAAAATATGCGACGACCTACCCCAAGCCAGTTGCAACTACAGTCAATGAGAAGCGTCAGGATCATACAAAAAGTCATTACAACACAAAACGGACTTCATATCAGCATCTCCAGCCTGTTCCCTGGTAAATTAACAGACAATGAAGCAGTCACTAAGCACGCACCCAAATCAAAATTTTCATCCTAGAGTTGACCAGAGCCGATAGCTGGGGTAGCCATGTTCTAGCGTCCTTTAACAGGAGGCTAAATTTAGCACTCGAGGAAAGAAGTCAGAAAAACACATACGTCGCCTGTCTTTACAAACTTCTCATAGGGTGCGTCTGGGCATTCCTCGTATTTGACCTGAGCACCGATCTTTTTCATAATATCCTGTTTGCGTAGATAATGCACATAGTATTCAGGGGGGAACAAAGCAGATGAATTTTGGCGGATATCATAGCTGTCGTAATCGCCCGCAGCAGGGGTGAAGACATTGTCAATCTGGAACAGTTTGGTGACATCCGTACATATAGCATTGATATATCACTCACGCAGTAATTATCGGCGTCCCGGCAAATCTTGTTTGAGTTTGTGGAAGTTCCAGCAGCGTAGCAGGCATTCTCCTGCGCTACGCAACCATCAGGACCGTATAGGTAATCCGAAATGTTCTTGAGAACGTCATCTGGTTGGAGCTGTCCATAGCCAGGGGCATAAGTCGCAAAGTCTAGGTATGCGATGTTCTGAATGAGCGGATCATACCAGCCACTGTGAATTCTCATTCAACAGGGTATCAGTAATTCAAGAAAGTGACTTGCTTGTTAATCATCAGGGCGCTGACAACAATTGGAACAGCATCAATCTCCCCGCTAGCAATTAAGGCGTTTTGCCCATCGAAGTAGGTCACAAAGCTGGGTCCGTAGTGACCACCATAGCTCTCTGTGGCAAATATGAACCTAAGTCTGGCATAAGTAATCGTCCGTGATAGCTGAGTTAAGCGACTGACTCTCGACTGGCATACTTCGAAAATAGCTGGCTTTCAAACAAAACCTGAAATGCAGTCCATACAAAGGGCGCAGCGGCCTCCGTGCTGTTTACCGTATCGGTACCGTAAGAAAACCCTGTTCCTATTGGCTGGTCGATGTAGATCACTGGCTGAGGAAGTCGGCTCTGGCAACGAAATCAGAGGATTACGTGCTACATACTGTTGCTAAGATTGTTCCAGCTGTAGTAGGAAGTTGAAATCCATGTTGGATTAGTGTATCAAAATGACCATGATTTTGACATACCTGTAGGGGTTAAGAGTGGTGGAATTACGGTCGGCATTCACCAAGCATGGCCCATTTTCTGTGGAAATTTAGAAGTAAATCAAAGGGCAATTAAACCAAACGACCTTGAAATAATCCGATCATAGAAGAACATCCAGGGCCGCCATTCAACCTGCGAAAGCAGTTCAGAGGTGCAACTCGACTCAGGTACTTGTGCGGCCCAGCTTCCGGGTGACCTACCATAGAGTGAATGGGGCTGTTTCCGGTGAGTTTCTAGACTCGAAGAACCAGAACCACTGTATCTTAAGTCAGCTTAGCATCTGGGACATAGGGAACAAAGATATACCATGGACATGTTTGTTCCAACGTTAATGTAACCAGAGATTTGGGTAACATTCGGGGTTGTTTCACAGATTCCTGAGTTCTTGATGTAACGAATGCCAGTTGCATTGTGAACCTTGGATCGAATCTCGACGTGCCCTGTTTCCGTATTAGCAACTTGATTGTCTTTGACAACAGAGACAACGAGAGTTATGGATATGCTAGCTGCTAGTACCAGCGCAAGGCCAGCCCGAATGAGCGTTCTCATAAACATGTCAGTGTACGCCGGCAGGGATTCAGAGATCTAAATAAAGTCATCAGTGACGGCCAATTAACTTCAGGTACTTATAGACTATCAGACATTCTCATGGCTAAGTATTATCAAGCGACAAGCCAATGGAGGCAAGTGCCCACATGATGGCGGCGATAAAAACGAGATATAGAAGCGTGCCGTGATGGGTCGTACGTTAGGGCTTCAGCATGAGAACGCTGTTGTTTCAGACTGCTTGGTTCCCACAGCTGGCGAAACCCACTGGTGTGCTAGAAATGGGGACTTGGCCGCACGCGATTTTGGCGGCCGCCGCATGCAGCCGCATGTGTGTGCTTCGGGCTGCTTATGAACCCGTTGCGTGAACAGAACAGCAGGGGTCAAGTACTCAGCCCTGCCGGTTCAGTGTAACCCGGAGCGCAAAACTCTCATGATGTTTACATAATACAATGAGTCCTTCTTAGCTCCGGCTCTTGAACACTTCAACTTCGGCAATGTTGAACTTCTTTAGTCCTCTTCGAGAGCTACAACTTGATTTAGTGGCAAATGTCATCAGGCAAGATACTCTCTGGACTTGCAAAAATGCCATATCTGCTCGGTCGAGAATGCAGGTGCCCACGCGAAGGATGTTTCAAGATCCTCTGCAATCGAGAGGATCATCATAGCAAAGACCTCAAGTGGGTGAATTTTGAAATTGATTGGAAGGTTTTTCCAATGAAAGGCCGTCTGCTTCAAGGAGTCTCGGATACCGGTTCTGCCAAGTTCTACCACCACCTTACAGAGTGCTGCCGTGGGGCCGTAGACTGGTGATCAGCCCGTCTGAGGCAAGTTGTCGATGAATATACTGGTAAAACGACCCTGAGTTTGAATTTGGATTATGAACGGATCCTCGGAGTAGTAGTCTACGTGGGTCGAGCTGCTTAACTTTACCCTCACTGACTTGTGTACTGATACTACAGTACCAATGTTGCTCAACCTCAGCAGAGAAGATTCAAAGGAGATCATTGCAAGATGAGTACCTCTGACTAGCGCGGAATGTAGAATTATGTATAATCCACTTATCGTTTTTTGATGAACCGTCAACCAGACAGGCGTGCGAGGGACGGCAGGAAAACTGATGTGTGAAGACAAGCGACCAGATACGTGAGAGATTGCTGTGTCGCCACCTGTACCTGAGGCTGAGGCTGTGGTATTGCTGCAGGCTGGGGCTGGGGCTGTGGTATTGCTATAGGCTGAGCTGCCGTTGAGGACGACTGGCCAGTCTGGGCATTGGTCTTCTTAGGGGGAAGTGCTATCCAGCGCCGCTGGAGGTTCGGTTATGTACATGGCAGAACAAGGGACATCTAATACACTACCTTTTTTTCCCCTTGCGGCAGCGACTGTTACGGGCTGCGGGCCAGTGTACCGTGCGAAGAGACTGCGCTTTGGACGTTGTTGCAGCGCAATGGGCTCATTCGCTGTTGGACGCTGACGAGAGGGAATGAAGACGTTCCAGAGGTGTCGAGCCGAGGAAGCACGGGGTCGCGGAGAGCGACGGGAGGGGCCTGACGGTACCGAAGGATGATATGACTGCGAAGATGACGAGTACACTTATTATCAATACTGGTACCCTTTGCATGATGAAACATGAAGCTTACCTGGAAAAAGTCACCGTAATCATCACCCACGATTGTACAAGAGGGTTCGTAGCGTCGACCTGTGACGGTTCTGTGAATAATGGGAAGAAGACAGTTGAATGGGAGAGTACTGACATTAAGGCAGGTGACTAGGGTCGAGTGTCCTTCTGTGTACCTTGTCACCCTGAAGTATGGTTGTAAAATCACGTACCGGAAGCTCAGGAGCTATGTCTTTGACCATCCACAAAGTTATTTTGCTGTTGTTCCCGCCATGTGTGATGTATCTCCCATCTCGAGAGAATGACACATGGTGAAGGCGATTGTAATAATCCTGGCTGAATGGCTCGCCAAGTGGTTGATAGGATTCTGTATCCCATAGTTGTGCGATACCCTGGTCGCCCACACACGCCAGTAGACAGTGATTTTACTCGCCCACCATCATGATCCGCCCACTCGCCTTCAATCATATTTCCGTCGGTATCCCATCGCTCAACACATCCGTCATACCTTCCGCACGCAATAGTCTTCCCGTCTGGTGAAAGCACTAGTGCAACTATCTCTCCCCTCTCGTCTTCCCCCTCGTCTTCCCCCTTGTCTTCCCATGGTTCCCTGACCAGAAGTCCTGTATTGCAGTTCCACTTGCACATCACGCCACTATCTGAATAACTCACGATGTGTACGTTGTCGTGCAAGAAGACGAGATACATAACGATTTCATTATGCACTTCAAATTCGTGCTTTGGAGTTGGTTTTTGGGGTTGCGGTGAAGCTTCCTCCGTGGACGGCGTGGCAGAGGATTTGGATTCAGAAGACATAGCTTCCTGAATGGTCCGTGTTGCAAGGGATTCAGAAGTCGTAACTCGTTATGGTAAGCCGTCCGTATATTTTCGGCTGGCACTGTCAGACTGCTCATGAGTATAGCAAATGAGAGGAAAAGTTGACTAGCACTCACCAGTTGTTCTAATTTTTGGTTCGCTGGTAGCAGCCTAATAAGAACAACGGTGAGCCTGGTACTAAAGGAAAGGGCCAAACTTCATCGGCAGGGACCTTGTTTACCGGTATGCTGCCGTTCATCGTGTTGGTCAGTATTGGTTTTGCGTACCATGTAACACTACTGAACGCGGCAAGTCCCGAGTCGAATCATGATGGGGGCTTAGCGAGTTAAGATAAGTTTCAACTTCGAAGTCAACGATACAACTCATACAAGCTGTTTCAGCCACATTTTCTTTAGTTCAGTTTGAGAAATTCGATTTGGACATGGAAAAAAAGAAAGGTGTTGCGGAGACAAGCGGGGGAGAGAAGAGGATGAAAGGGGAAAAACACGGGACACCTATCAGATTGATGCGGAACCAGGAGAAAACGGGAAGAGTGTGAGGGTCTTGAACATCTGACTCAGTACTTAGTAGCTACATCTGTTCAAGTTGGACTCAAGATCTATGAGTCACAGCTATCGCAACCCCGTAAGTGATGCCTCCATTTACTGATACGTTCGTGACACTGGACAGTATACGGAGTTCCAATAAAAATCACTGGAAACGTGATAGATCCGTCTGACGCATGCGCATAGTCGCGATGATTATCAGCCAGGTACAACTTTCCATTGATCAATCTACATGTGGCAATGACAATCATTGGATGCCCCAGACCCTACGTGTCAGCAATTGGAGAAGAACGCTTGGCCCTGGCGTTTCCACGAGGCATGCTACGCCTTTCCCTTGTCTCTGCTCAAGCGCTGGGTCTTCGGCCTCTACTCTCGCAGGCAGCGCGGTGGACTCGAGGAGCCCGTGCCCGATCTGTCGCAGGTCAAGCAGAGTTTGGACCTCTGCCCGATTGGTACCAGGTGCATATGTGGTATTCTCCACTCTTCGGTCAGTGACGAACATGCCACGAGTAATTTCTCCGCTCCTTTATATGAAACACATCAGGTAAACAATAAATAATCGGGAACACGCAGGATCGCACCGTTCAATATCGAATGTTCGCTCGGCTATAGCCCATCCAGTCGACATTCCAGGAAGACTGCCAGCTGGAGTAATTTCAGGTGGATTCTCGATTGCGCACCAAATGGCGACAATATCATGCAACTCTAGTACATCCTTTCCAGACTCGATCATGATTTCCCTCGTGCGTTCGAAGACAGAGCTTGTAAAGTGGACAAGGGGTGATTTACCATCCGCATTCGACGGTTGGGCTGTAGACTTGAACGCAGGGTCTACCGTTTGTATATAATGCGGCAAAGGGAGTTCGTGGTTAGTAGTGATATCCAAGGGAGCGAGTATCACTCTGTCGAGCGGGAGACCACTGGTAAGATCTGTCGGCACTAAAAGTTCTTTTGCTGCGTAAGGATCAGCAAAAACATTAACTGCATATGCAAACAAGGTTAGTAGGATTTTCTACACGAACACGCCTTTAACCACTTACATTCCGCGACCGAAGTAGTATTTCCGGGAACATCTAAGGCTCCCGCCATGGCAATGACTCGACCGATTTTATCCACAAATGTTTGACGGTGTTGGCGCACAAGTTGTGCCAGGTTAGTCATCGGACCCAGGACTACATATGTGATGCTTCTGTCAGGACGTGACTCCAGTAAGCGCAAGGCCACCTCGACACCTGATTCTTTCACCGGTTGAAAATTGTGGCAAAAAGTGGAACTTCCGAGGTCGACATTCAAGTCAGGGTGGCGTTCGCTTATATTTGATAAACCATCACTACAGTAACAATGAGAACCTATCTCCAAAGTTGAAGAGAAACTTACCGGCCGTGGAAGTATTGAGCAAAGTGCCGTCCACCTTCTAAGGGTCCATCTGGTCCGACCACAAGGAGGGGTGGGACTGTGGGTGAAAAATTCGGAAACCTTGCGGCATCTTCAGGGTTTAGCGCAATGTGACGCCCTATTGCCTGGTAAAGCTTGTAGATGTTGTCGCTGCGGAGTCACGTTCAGTTACTTTGAGACTTGGATTGAGCGGCGCCTTAACTGAGCTGCGTGAACATCGGTGTTCCCTGTTATCAAATATTGATAAGGTTCTCATTTCAGCCTATCCCAACGCATTTACGTACCGAATGAAATGATGTATGCAAGGATTTCGAGTTCGGGGGATGTGATGGCAAGCAGGCTGTCGGTGCTTTTAGAACAAAGTTTCTCTGAATTTATGGAGGGAATCGAAAACAAACATGGCTAGAATGTCATCCACGCCAGGGTCAGTGTCGACTACGAGCCATGGTCAGATAAGAGTGAGCACAGCGTATTCGACCGACCACTTACTGATGACTGGCGTCCTCGTCTTCTCTTGCATGTTATTATCGTATGGTCAACAGACAGAATCAACACAGATAGGGAAAAGGCCTTTATCACTCAGATCATATAGTGTAGTTAAGACTCAGTCAAACTCGGTGAGAATGGGATGAATATGTGTCGAAGCGTGGAACAAGGCAGATAGGTGCCTTATGCTGAGACGTGCTGAACCACAGTGATTCTGCCGATGGAGCTATGAATTGATGCAGAGTGAATGTTTGCGGGTTTATTCGCATTCGCTGTTGCGGCAACCGATGTCGGACTTCAACATGACCAAAATAATACGAACCACATGGATGAACACTGCATGGAGATAAGGCATACAACCACAGGCGACCGTGGAATGTTCGAACACTGATTATGCGTCGGTTTATATGTAACGGATATTTGAATAAGGATCATTTGAATTGCTACACCAGCTGTATTGTACAAGTAGGGCCGAAAATTTCCCATGGAACCCGGACCTATTAATTAAAAGGACAGTCAGCCAAAGTACTGCGGAGCACAATGAGATAGATATCAGAGATCTTGGTGGAAAATTGGTCTCATCGGACTAGCCTCTGAAGTAGCAAATATTGAAAGAATAACATCATAAATGATACGCAGTCACGCGGACTCACCATGCTCAAAGTTATCCCGGTCCGTGTCAAGTGCATGCAGGTTGTGAAGAGAGTGTGGGACGTCAGACCTCATAAGGCGGAATATGCCGGAGAACTATGCAGCTAAAGTCACGGTGGCTGTCACGTCACGCCTAACCTGAAGCCATACTCATCTGAGTCCCTCTCGATATCCAGCGACTTACGACTAATGGCTGAATCCTTGCGTTTTCTCGGCTCCCTCCCCGGCCACAAAGGATGGGTTACCGCTATTGCTACCTCCTCGGAGAACCCAGACATGATTCTGACGGCTTCCCGAGGTATGAATGACATTTTTGCATAATTCTTTAGTTGACCTTAGGGCCCAGACAAGACCATCATCGTCTGGCAGCTTACTCGTGATGAAGACACGTACGGCTACCCCAAACGAATTCTTCATGGCCACAACCACTTCGTCTCTGACATCGTCATCTCTTCCGATGGACAATTCGCCCTTTCCTCCTCTTGGGACCACACCCTGCGTCTCTGGGATCTGAACACTGGTCAGACCACCCGCAGATTTGTTGGCCACACCTCCGATGTCTTGTCTGTCAGCTTCAGCGCAGACAACAGACAGATTGTCTCTGGTTCGCGTGACCGAACAATCAAACTTTGGAACACTCTTGGAGAGTGCAAGTATGATATCAAGGATGATGGTCACACTGAGTGGTGCGTGGGAGTCATGCTCAAATAGATATCATACCCTGACAATACGGTCTAGGGTGTCATGCGTGCGCTTCAGCCCCAACGTCATGAACCCTGTTATTGTGTCTTGTGGATGGGACAAGGTTGTGAAGGTGAGCGTTCCCTAAAATTCATATTACTGGCCCTCCTAGTCGAGCAACGTTATCTTTATTCGCTACTTCGAGAGTAACCACATGAGATGAACATTTTTCATCAAAGATCTATGAATCGCTCGTAGCAATGCCATGGTACACTCAGTGCTAACACTACTTTGATAGGTCTGGGAACTCTCCAAGTTCAAATTAAAGACCAACCACTACGGCCACACCGGCTACATCAACACTATCTCTGTCTCTCCTGATGGTTCCCTTGCTGCATCAGGTGGCAAGGACGGCATTACCATGCTTTGGGACCTGAACGAGGGCAAGCACCTTTACTCGCTTGAGGCTGGTGACATCGTCAATGCTCTTGTGTTCTCGCCCAACCGCTACTGGCTATGCGCTGCCACTGCCAGCTGCGTTAAAATCTTTGACCTTGAGAGCAAGTACGTACTTCCAAATTGTGTTACGAAATCTAGCTTATCGGCGTGATCCCTAGGTCAATTGTTGACGAGCTCAAGCCCAGCTTCACTGATGTTGGCCCCAACTCACGGGAACCCGAGTGTGTGTCAATCGCATGGTCAGCAGACGGGCAGACGTTGTTTGGTGGATTCACTGACAACCTTGTTCGTGTCTGGACTGTCACTTCTTAAAATCTTCCGGGGAAGTCGCGTGGTGGAGGACAGATTGAGGTTTACCCTACGCATCGTTTTTACTGTAGCAGGCTGCTTGCATCTCAAAAAAAAAACATTGCATTTCTCAATTCCTGGTAGAATCTATGGCATTCACAAAACTCCTGGAGTCTCAGCTTCCCGCATGTTTCGTTGACGTTCCGCGTAATCCCAGCGATCCAGGCCTCCAAAGTCGATCTTCATCGCGCCAGAAGACAGGTTTACTTGCAGTTCGCAGATGTGAGATACCCTAGCTCTCCAGCTGTCGGCCCTGTGATGATAATTAGCACTGGTGACCAAGTGTATTTCATCGGCTCACGTTGCTGTCCCATACATGTCCGAGCTGCTCTGACTGACCACTCGCACGCATTGATCGCTGTTGGACTTTGCATCGTATATCCACAAGTTCTTTCCCACATAGACCTCCTGCCAGCCACCTGAGTCAACTAATCTGTTTGGGGGCCTGATGCGTTTGGTATCTGGTGGAGGAGTGGGGGCTTGTCGAACATCCACATCATTAAAGAGGCGAAGCGCCACAAGATTTGAGATGTTGGTTAGCAGAGCACGTTCCTGGGATAAAGACGGATTGATGATATGAAAGATTGTACTGAGTGAGCTCTCCGAGTCATCATCAGATTCATGGCTGCCATCTTCTGCTGTCGTAGTAGTTGCAGCGGTACCACTCGGACTTGCTTTGTTGGGCTCAAGTTGATCGTCCATCGTCGTGTCATCTTCTTCCAAAGGGCTATCTGCAAACTCCTTCTCTCCTTCTTCCAATCGACTGGAGAAAGCCAACCAAGCAGCCTCATCGGAAAAATCAGTTCGCAGCAGGATCCCCAGCTCTTCTCTGTTAGTCGACGCTTCGTCAAAAGGATCACTATCCATGTGGAATTCCGCATCGCCATCAGTACCGATGGCAGTGGTCTGGGATATGTTTGAACGCCGGGGATCATATGCGAACAAGATCGTGATTTGCTCAGTGCTTACAGATGACAACGTTTTTTCGCTCGAAGCCCAGAACTTCTGTGCGACCTGAAGCTTCCATCGTCTACGGCCTTCGTTTGGCGATCGGCTCTTAATCGACGCGTAGTGAATCTGTGATCATGATGAGGCCTTTGAAAGAAGTACCAGTGACTGAACGCACAAGTAACCATTCTCCGAAAGTACTCGAAGACATCTTTTGTGGAACGTCGGTGTTGCAATGTCAAGGATTGCCTTGATGTTTTGCCAGGTCACCACAGGAACCTCATCACCAACAACTTGAACGTTAACTTGAAATTGCGAGAGTGACGGTACTTCAGTCCGTAATTAGTTCAAACGCATCATAGACTCGGGCTTATAGGGCATTTTTTGATCAAAACTCGCAGCCGATTATCGCACAGTTGTCCGTATATGGAAGAAACTCTCACAAATCGTTGGTATGGAGGGAGACGATATGGGTCGCAGGTCATAGGACTTGCGCAGCGCTCACACTAATTGTATCCGATTGATGTGGATAGTCACTGGTCACTGCTGGAGCCCCACTACGTTTCCTGATCCGAGATTGCCCCATGGCGATTCAAATCATTTTTGCTGACCTCCAATGCAATCATGGTCCGCAATATAAGCGTCGAATGGTTCTCAGGCATATAGACGCGTGTCCATCCTTTCCTGCATGGCACCTCCTACAGGAACTACCGGTGAGCACTGAACGCAGGTTCACTTTCAATGTCTGGACAGGATTGATTGAACGAAATGCAGGAACTCAACTCGGACGAAGGCAATGGGCCTTTGCGTTCGCTCTTGTGACGTCCTTGTTTTTTACTTGTGAGTCATAGGTCTCTTTGTGGTATTGGTACCGAAATAACGAAGTTCGCGGCGAACTGCAGGGGGCTTTGCCTATGGTGTATGAATTTCCCGCATTTGCAAATCTATTCCTCCAGCTGATCGAAACCTTCGATAACAGCTTCTTGATGTACTCAACGCACACTTCCAGACCGTATTTGGGATCTCAAAGCTTCAGAGCACGCTCTTACAATTAGCATACTTTGTAAGTGTCTGGTCCTTGGTGATAGCGCGATCGTTCTCGCTAATCGCAAGTTAGGGTGCCTATTTCGTGTGGGCACCATTCGCGGGTGTATTTGTGAGTCACATCAGTGTTTCCTTCGGAGCAATACTAATTAGAGCAGATGAGACGAGTAGGATACAAGGTGACTCTTAATCTGGAGATCCACGAATTAGATAACGAACAGCTTCCACTTATAGAAAGGCATTCATATCGGCCTTGGCTTGTACTCCATTGGTATTGGTATCCTCATCTGTAAAATACACAGACTTACCATTTCTTAGGTGCCGTATTCTTCTGGCCATCCGCGAAATACGAAACATATGGGGGGTTCGTCGGGAGTACATTCGTAATTGGTAATTCAACTCACAAGAGCTATATCACTATAATACTAATATCTTATCCTACCTAGGTTGCGGCCTCTCAACACTCGAGGTCGCGGCCAACTCCTACATATCTGTGCTTGGCACGCCTCAGTATGCTGCCGCCCGTTTGAACTTTAGTCAAGGGTTCCAAGGCGTCGCATCCTTTGCTGGACCTTTGATCGCTTCACGCTGGTTTTTTACTGGTGCCAATGCGACCAGTCTTGGCACTGTGCAATGGTCTGTCTGATAGCTTTTGTGCAAGTACCGTACTAAACTTTTATTAGGGTCTATCTTGCAGTTGCTGGCCTCGGCATAGTACTTAATATACTATTTTTGTGAGACCAATTTTTGCATGACGGAACGCCCGTCCTAACTTTCGACAGCTTCTGCAGCCTACCTGAAATCACAGAAGATGCTTTGGCTGAAGAGATAGATGAGGTTGGTATCACAGATGGCCAAGGACCTTTCTGGAAGCAATATCGCTGTATCTTTGGGTTTGTTGCCCAGACCGCCTACGTGTGCGTTTTTCTGGTTCTCTCCAGCTTGTGTAGTAGGCCTTAAATATACCACAGCGGTGCACAAGTAACCATCGCCTCTTTCGCCGTCAACTTCCTCGTTGAGCAAGGAGTTGGTATCGACCAGTCAAAGGCTAGCCAGCTCTTCTCGTTCTGCCAGGTCACGTTCACCGTAGGACGGTGAGACATGACACAATTTCTACCTTCATCGACATTCTGAATTCAATGGCTTACAGATTTCTTGGTGTATTGATGCTCAATTTTATCGACCCTGCCTTATTGCTAGCCTTCTATCAAGATATGACCCTTACACGTACTTAGCCTTTTCATTTTACATACACGAACACTCCTCCTACCATGCGTCATACACGTTTCCTATTGACTCTCCGTCCCAATCAAACGTATTAATTCCTCCTCTCGTCGAACAATCTCCCTCAGTCTTTTTGAACCAAGACTGAGGTGAGCTATCTTATTGACATCCCTACTCTACTCTTACTAACTACTACTCTACTAGTTCTGTTCTCGCCCTTAGGTATGGTCCATAGTTACCCTTTAGTCTTTTTGAACCAAGACTGAGTTCTGTTCTCGCCCTTAGTTTCTCTAGTCCGAGTCTCTTCACCTTTGATAGGTTATGAGCCCTGGCTCAGACTAGGCATACATTCGTTTCTCGCTTCCACTCGCCTTATCTGAGCCTCTCCGACCTTTTCCGAACTGGAACAAGGTCGCCCTCTATCCCCGCTTGACCTGCGGATCTTATCCATTCCCTTGCCGCCATCGCCGCCATTAACGCCTGTCGTACCAACTCGCTCGTTACCACACCCATTGAATCTTCCCATTCTATTGTCGCCATCGCCGACACATCGTTCGACACCTGTCATGTCCACCATATCGTCGTCCAACATCCGGATTCCAACATCTTTTCCTCACCCTCCTCTGGACGCCAATGGCTCCAACTACACCTCGTGGGTAACGACCATGGACCTTTGGCTCTCGCTCTTCAACCTTTGGCGCCTCCTTTCAGGAGATGAGAAGGGTCCTCCGCGCCCAACCAGAAGCACCACTGAGACTGAGGCTGACTTCAACAAACGCCTCGCGGCACATGATGCGAGCGCGGACGTCATTTCTTTCCGAGAACGCCAAAGCATAACCAAAGGACTCCTTGGTATGACGGTACACTCAAGTGACCTCATCCACTTCATGGGTGTCACTGATCCAGCCGTCATCTGGAAAGCGCTAGAAGACAAGTATCAGGCGTCTGTTGGCATCCGCTTTACGAGCCTCATGGGCCGTATCTTTGACCTTCCCAAAGCATCTGATAGCGACTCTCTTACCAAGACCATTAAGGAGATCACGGACATCAAGGCCCAATTCAAGGTCATTGAATCCATCGAATGGAAGTGCAACGAATATACCCTTGTCCAAGCGCTACTGCGTGCCCTTCCCGACTTCTATGCGCCGCTTTCCCAGCTCATACTCCATAGTGCTGACGCCAATACCGGGAAGCTAACGCTGGAAGGAGTCATCAGCCAGATCAGGAACTCGGAACAATATTATGCAAGTTTCGGCTCTGCAAACCCACATGCGCACCACACAGCCATGGCTGCTAGGGTGGCGAAAGCAGGTAAACCTACTGAGCGTGCCAAACCGAAGGATTTTGATGCCTCCAAGGGAGATAAATGGGAGTTGTCGTGGCGCTCGACGTGCGGATCTTGCAAGCGCACAGGCCATATCTGGAACAACTGCTGTGCTCGTCTAGCAAAATCCGACTCATCAAACACGTCAGCGTGCATTCCCCCCTCACCTTCACAAGGTACTGACATATCAGTTCCCCTACCAGGACAACCTGACGGCATTCCATCGTTTCTTCGTCTTCCTACACACTCTGCTAGTTTCTCTAATACGAGCACTATTTCTTTTCAATTCCACGTAGACTCTGCCGCCACCGCACATATGGAATCCAATCACTCCCTCTTCACTCGCTACAGAACTTACAACCCTCCATCAATCGTGAAACTTGCGAATGACGATACTGTTCTTGCCCCAGGTTGGGGATTCATCACGCTAGTGCTCGACGGAAGACATGAGTCTATCGAACTCCCTTTCCTCCACGTACCAGACCTACGGTGCACACTGATATCAGTGTCTGCTCTAGCGTCGGAGGGAATTTTCTTCGAAACGGATGCTGAAGGAGGACAAATGCGTCGTGCTGATAAGACTGTGATCGCACGTGTGGAATGCTCTGCCGGTCTATACTACCTTCGAGCCAAGCACACCCATACGGCCTTTGCCACCAGGTCCACCTCGGCTACGCCATTACCACTAGCTGTATGGCATGCACGCATGGGCCATGCCGCAAACTCCACCTTGCGCAAAGCTGAGAAGGTTGTATTAGGACTGTCACTTAACCTGTTAGACGAGTCTACAGGACCTGGTGACCACATTGACTGTCCGTCGTGCCTAATGGGCAAACAAAAACGATTGCCGTTCCCGTCTCATGCTCGACACCGTGCAACGCACGTCGCTGAACTTGTTCACACTGACGTTTGGGGACCCGTCAACACTGCAACCCCGTCCGGCGAAACATACTTTGTTGCCTTCACTGATGATTTTTCGCGTTATTCCACTATCTACCTCATTAAGCACAAGAGTGAGGTACACTCGCACCTTCTGCGATATATCGCCTGGATTGAAAACCAGTCAGGGCAACGAGTTAAACGCCTCCGCAGTGACAACGGTGGCGAATACGTCTCTCACGCTACTATTGAATTCCTGCGTAGTAAAGGAATTGAGCACGAACTTACGATGCCTCATACAGCCGAACAGAATGGTGTTGCCGAACGTGGACACCAGACCATTGCCACCCGAGCATTAAGTGCCCATCACCAGAGTGGTTTTCCTCGTTCGTTCTGGGGCCACGCCATCCTCAACTCAGTATACATCAAGAACTTCCTCCCGTCGTCAGCTACTGACAACAGAACGCCGTTTGAACTCTTCTATGGTGAACTACCAAATGTCTCGCACCTACGTCCGTTTGGCTGCCTCGCATATGCTCACATCCCAGACGACAATCGCCACAAGTACGACTTTGTTTCGAGACGGTGCTTCCTACTGGGGCACGTCAAAGATGCGGGATATCTTCTATGGGATCCAGCGACACGACAGACGGTGCGCTCTCGAAATGTCCTTTTTGATGAAAAATTCTTCTACGGCACACCCAACTCAGTTCTCTCGCCCCTCGTTGAATTACACAACCAGCGCATTGCAATGCAGCAGCCCACCCTCGCATTGCCACATGATTTGCCGATATCAGAAGACGGCTTCAGAACCACACGACCTGGAGAAGATGATTCCGGTATTACACTACCAGGACCCAGTACCGTTTCAGTGGGAGTACTTCCGACTTCTGCTCCTCTCATCCCCGAACCTCCACAGCCATTCCCGCAGTCGAACGACAATGTTCTCCCTGTCCCTGCTGAAGTTCCGGTAGAAACGGTACCATCTCCTGAGCCACGACGTTCGACACGTCAACGCATTGACGCGCGACCAGCAGTCCCGAAAACTGTTGCCATCCCAACAAAACATGTCCCAGTACAGCGGCGTTGGACTTATGTACCGGTCACTGTTGAGGAGGAGGTTGTTGAAGAAGAAAATCTTAGTATTAGTGCTACCCCCGATGTCACCATTGAGCACTCCGCGAAGCATGTATCCTTGGCGGACAGCAACAAGATTGATGGACGGAAGCTTCCCCCCAAAACGATAGCTGCCGCTCGCTTGTCAATGGATTCGGGTCATTGGGAAAGCGCAATGAATGAAGAGTTAGCTTCGTTGGGAGAAAAAGGAGTGGGTGTCTTAACACCACTCCCATCAGGGAGAAAAGCAGTCGGCTCACGGTGGGTGTACTCGCACAAGTATGACGAAAATGGCCAGATTGCCCGCCACAAGGCCCGCCTTGTTGCGCAGGGTTTCACACAGATCGAAGGACTAGATTACACCGACACCTTTGCTCCTGTTGCAAAATACGACACCGTACGTGCACTACTCTCCATGGTCGCTAAGTTTGATCTTGAACTTGATCAAATGGACGTGAAGACCGCCTTTCTCAATGGCGAGCTTGACGAAGAAATCTACATGCGTCAACCTCCAGGCTTCGAAGACCCTGAGCATCCAGATTGGGTCTGGAAACTCCTCAAGGCCATCTACGGACTCAAGCAAGCCGGTCGTCAATGGAACAAGACACTCGATGATTTCCTGCGAAAAGAAGGTTTTAATTTTGTTCGTAGCGAAGCAGACTATAGTCTGTATGTTTTACGAAAAGATGACAAGACCATCTGGCTCCTTGTTTACGTCGATGACATGTTGCTCGCATCAAACTGTCGGGATTTCCTTAACGGTTTCAAATCGGAGATGAGCAAACGTTTTGAAATGAAGGACCTTGGTGAAGCGCGTCATTTCTTAGGAATGCACATTACACGAGATCGCTCTAAGAAGCACCTTACCGTCAACCAATCCTCCTTTCTCGAACAGATTCTCAGTGAAACTCGGATGTCAGATTGTCGACCAGTATCTACCCCCATGGTTCCAGGGATCTCCTTGACGAAGTCATCTGCACCCCTCACTCAAGCCGAAATCCAACAATTTGCGCACATGCCATACGCGCGTGTCGTTGGGGAACTCAACTTCGCCATGCGCGTTAGTCGTCCCGATATTGCATATGCAGTATCGGCGCTGTCAAAATATCTGAGTAACCCTGGCATAGACCACTACCGCCAGCTTCACCATCTCCTTCGTTACCTTCGTGGATCCACACATCATTCCCTAACGTTTGGTTTGTCCAACCAAGGACTCATCGGTTATTCGGATTCTGACTTCGCGTCTGATAAAGACGACAGTCGCTCAATTGGGGGCTATGTCTACTTTCTTTTCGGTTCCCCCATCAGTTGGCGTTCCCAAAAGCAATCCGTCGTTGCGACTTCGTCTACTGAAGCTGAATACATCTCACTCTCTAACGCGGCCCGCGAACAGATCCATCTCAGCCAGCTGCTATGCGATTTTGGTCTTGACCTCTCGCTGATCACCCCCACCACGTTATATGGTGATAACAATGGAAGTCGCGCACTAACGAAAAACCCTCAATTCCACGACCGGGCCAAGCACATTCGCGTCCGCTATCACTTCGTTCGAGATCTGGTCAGCGACGGCACCATCATCATTCCCTATGTACCCACACATGATATGATTGCCGACATCTTCACGAAATCCCTACCACGAAAACTTTTCCGCAACCATCGACACTCGCTTGCTCTTCGTTCATCGTCAAACGAAGACCCAGTTAAATGAGCACGCCCGCGTCTCTAGCGTTTTGCGTTCGAGTGGGAGTATCAAGATATGACCCTTACACGTACTTAGCCTTTTCATTTTACATACACGAACACTCCTCCTACCATGCGTCATACACGTTTCCTATTGACTCTCCGTCCCAATCAAACGTATTAATTCCTCCTCTCGTCGAACAATCTCCCTCAGTCTTTTTGAACCAAGACTGAGGTGAGCTATCTTATTGACATCCCTACTCTACTCTTACTAACTACTACTCTACTAGTTCTGTTCTCGCCCTTAGGTATGGTCCATAGTTACCCTTTAGTCTTTTTGAACCAAGACTGAGTTCTGTTCTCGCCCTTAGTTTCTCTAGTCCGAGTCTCTTCACCTTTGATACCTTCTACGGATTTTGTTGTTCGTTGTTCTGCCTCTTGGTCTCTCAGCTTCCTGGGTATAGCGCTGTCGCATGTCTCTTCTGTCTGTTCTTCTTCGAATCCATTTGCTATCCTGTACGTCTCTTCCTTTTTTTGAGCTACACCTCATTTATCGTGTACTTTTAGTGTATCTTCACTCTAGGCACTAAGAACCTCGGAGTGCACACCAAGCGGGGCTCTGGTCTTATTGTTATGGTGAGTCCTCTCGTATTCTGGCTGTGCTCGATTCAAGGTTCTCACTAAACTCAGGGTGTTGGGGGAGGGGCTTGGTACCCACCTGCACAAGGTGCCCTCGCCGACGCAACAAATACCCGTCACTCGTATCTTGTCCCAGTGTCAGGTTACATCGCCATGACCATTTACGCTGTGTAAGATCCAGCATTTTTACAAGTTTGCATTGTTCTCAACTATATACAGCGGCCTTGTTGTCGACCAATCGAGGAAGAACGGATTCTCATTCCGTAACCGCGATGAGCTTACCAACAACTTGAGGCATACCTCCGATCACTTCTCTCCGACCGAGTCGCTCCCTGGTGATGCGAAAGGACGCTCGAGCAGTGAAAAGAAGGTGTTCAGTGACGAATTAGTCAGGGTCGCATGAAAATACCATCACAATAGAGGACGCACGAATACCATGGTCTCCTCGATCCGTATAAGCATCCATTACCCCGCAGATATTATTATATATCCATGTATTTAACGATGCCACTGCCATCCGGTGAGTATCCATGACGGATACCTGAATGACGTGAGTTTGTATGATATTCATCGTCGATGCCTTGAACTGCTACATGATCTACGATTCACTTGAATATTGTCGCTCAAGTTGACAGAAAACCCCTACCTTTAGAATGTATGGCCGCATGAGCTTCATGACCTTTGATATAGGCGGATCTGTATTTCTCGCAGTTCCAGCATTATCACTTTGTGGAGCAACCTCAGGCTCGCTGCATTCAAATTATCTCCCGGCTTCTGAAGAAGCGTCGGAGGCATACAGACACGTGCCCTTCCTTTCTTCGCAGTCCGAAAATGGCACATCCCGCAGGACGCGACGGGTAAGGGCCTCTGCGTTTGCTTTTGTGCACTTTTGAATGTCTTCGGGTTACGACCTAGTAGACTCGGAAGCTGAGATGTCACCGCACTAGTACAACTCGAGCCTTCAGCCTGAGAATGTCGCTAACTCTGTTTTCGGTCTATGTTATCATTTGTTTTATGTACATCGAAGCACCACCGTGACGGCTGCAGCTGTAATTGTTTTGCATCATGTGACTCAGTAATTTGTTTGGCAAGAGCCTCTGATCCAAACAACTTATCCTTTAAGCAATCGTGACGACTTGGATTTTGACTTCGGTTTAAATAATGCTACTACAATGGTGCACGCTCAGTCCTGCAGGCCCGTCCAAGCTCTCTGCTATCAGATTCTCGTCACCAAGCAGAGTGCATTCGATCAAGATATTTCCCACAGACGTGCAGCCCTTTGATCAGTGTCCAGACATCATTGCGTAAGTGCAACTATTCCTGATCATGCTGCGTGACATAGAGATAACCATATAGTCAGCCGCACAGAACCAAAAGCGTTCTTTCTTGACGTATATTTCAATGCCTACCCCGTGGGCTCACCGGTGGACGCGAAGCAGAAGCTCAAGGCACCTAATGCACTCATGCCAACCGTCATCCCATACGCAGGTGGTATAGTGGAATATGCAGTGAACATGGGCTCTGAGGTATTTTGAATGCCACTTATATATTGTCTTTTCCAACTTAACTCTCAGTTCGCGACTCGTTTAATGATTGTACGTGGAGACTTTGAAACAGTATCAATGGCAATATACGGCGATGTCGTTTCAGATAGCCCACCCAAGTCAACTACTTATTCTCCCCTCTCCTTACCCACCCATTCCTCTGTTCCCCTCGTGCCTGCCTTAGATGCTGCAAAGAGTAACGACCCAACCGCTCTTGCGAGGAATCTGCTGGCACTAATTCCCAATGCGCCCTCCCTTTCCCTCATCATCCGCCTCATGTTCTGCCTCAAGCAACCTAATGATGACTGGGAGCTCCCGGAATTTCCGCATCTTTATTCCGACCTGAACGAGGAGGAAATGGATATCGATTTAGATACTGCGTTCCGATCTTTGAGTCGTCCTGTGATGGATGACATTTCATCAGAGCAATTGCATCGATTTGCAAAGAAAGTCTTGGAGGCCGTCGGTCCCAGGGTACGAATCCCGAAGTCAATACCCACCTAAACCCATTAACTTGTTTCGTAGGACAATGCACAGTCATATCTCATTGCAGGCATTCTCTCTCGCTCGGCTTCGCAGACTCCTGAGTTTTCACAGGCTTTGATGGTAGGTCAATTCTTAGGCGCACAAAAATACTTGTTTTCACACTCTCGCAGCAAGCGCTCGAACTTGAGACGATATTTGACCCATCAACTTTGGATGAAGAGGCTTTACTCACACTTCTGGATGCAACAACAAATCCAGATATATCGCGGTTGTTGAAGGCGTCGTGGTTTCTTAATGTCCTACGAGCTGTCCTTGCGCCGCCGACAGTGACCCCCGAGATGAAGAAGGCTTGTCGACGGTTAAGTGATCGTGTAGGATCGTGGACAGTCTTTGATCAAGCGCTGTCCGGGGTTCCAGATGCAGATTACGCCAGGGCAGCACTGTTTCTAAAGGACATTGGAAAGGAGGAAAAGAGTTTTGGCATATGGCTGTCGTGTATCACCACTCACGAGGACCTTCTTGCGAAGATCAGAGATGCACCTGCATACGAGGGCGTGTATCCGCCAGATTTGATGTCCGGCTTGAAACCTTCTGAGGATATATCCCATTCGGAGTTCATGGCGTTCGTTAGAGCATATGTTGGAGTTGCTTCAGTGCTAGCTGTGTACGCCTGGTCGGACAGTCTTCCAAATTTACATTGTCGCGAGCGCACTCTGGGTGTTTTGCGCTTGTGGCAGGAAATTCCTGGATATCGTGCGGTATGTCATTCCTATCATTACTTTGCCCAACTTCTGACGAGTGTATCAGATCATCTCCCCCCTACTACTTCTACCCCAAATGACCTTCCGCTTGGAATGCATGACAATTGGGAATGACCCACCCACAACTGCAGGGATCAACGCTGAGTCCCTTCTTTACGCACTTGCAGCCAACCCGCAAAGTTTCCTCAATCCTGATTTCGTTCGCTGCGTGAGGAGCTGGGAACCATGGAGCTTAACATGGATCAACGAACGCGAACGAGCAGACATAGAGCGCGCCGCCGAAATCGCAGCCGAAGGCGTTGGTGGAGCCGTAGAAGAACTCGTTGCGTTTGCAAAAGAAGGTCACGACGCAATTTTGGATCAAGGCAGGATACGGGCTCTTAGGGTTGCTGTGGCTGTCATCATGCACACGCTAGAGGATAATACCGAGAGCGGAACCAAATGTGGCGACTGGACGGTGTTGGAGGCTGTGTGGGGTGAACATACGCATGGACTTTTGAATTATGCCATCGATGTGTTTACTCGTATCAGCGTGGAGGTGAAGCAAGGGTTCTCATTGACGCCTTCTCCATCACTTACGATTGGTCTTGAACCGCTCTTACTCGTGACGAACGAGAACCTCCTCATCATTGCGAGCTTATATGCATTCTCCATTACCACAAGCCGTGCAGTCCGGATGCTCGTGAGCGGCATTTTGGATATGTACAGCTGTGCTGATGTCGCATCCCACGAATCTGTCGCAAACAGCGCAGTACGGGATGCCGCTCTCCTTACCAAACATGCCTGTGCCAACGTGCTCTGTGCGTTTTCGAGGAACTTGCAAGATCAATCCAAGTGTGGCCTATCTATAGTTCTCCGCACGCTCTTTGAACAGGGGCTCCATTTTGATAATATCGATCCTACGAGAAGACTTTTGAGTGCTTTTTACCTGGTCCTTCGAGTTCTAGCAGATGATGGAGACCTACCCGTGGGCTGGATGCCCATTGTCATTCCTCAAATTCTAACACCCCTCACACTCTTCTTCCGTCATCTCGAACCCGCGCACAAGGTTCAACTGGTCCAGCGACTTGTCAACCTTGACCGGGGTGTGTTGGGGCTGGGTGACTTCCTCGTCCAAGGGGAGGTGAAGAGACTTGCTAGTTTTCTGAAGGTGATGGCCGAGAGAAGGGTTGTCGCGCAGTGGGAAGTGGGCGCAAGACTCGAGTTTGTGACAGGGCTCGAGTTTGTGGCAGGGCTCATAGAAGGTGAAGACGGCGACTGGTGTATATCCTCGTTATACCAATCGGAGTGGGGAACCGTTATGACCGGCTTACTCGAAGCCAACATCCATTCAAGACATCTTGGAATGATTGCCGGGCGGTTAGCTGAGAATCCAGAGTCACTAGGGATTGAGCTCAGGCTTTCAATCGTTGCTGTACTCTTGCGCGGTGTGCAGGTGCAAGAGCCGAGCGTACGCAGGATGAATGCCTTCGGCTTGATCTCTGCTGTCCTCGAGACGACCGACGAGAAAGACAGGGATCCCGAACGGCTGCTCTGGGAAGTAGGACACGCACTCGGCGCAATAGTAGAATCAAACGACAACCTCTCCTCCCTCGACTCCGAGAGCGTCGTCAACACACTCCTACTCCTCGATTCTCCCTCCCAATCCGATCTCCACGGGCTCACCTCCGAGCAATGGGTCAAGCTATGCACCCACCTGGAAACATCGTTACCACCCAACATGCTCCCTATGCTCCCCATCATCAAAGGCTTCCATCCCTTCCCATCCCCACCACCAACAATCTCATTCCTCCCATCGACCCTCACGATTCCCCTTTGCGACCTGATTTCGCTCCTTCAACCACCAGCTTCCCTACCCAGCACTCCACCACCAAAGCGCAAATCACCCAGCCAAGACGTCCTAGGCCTCGTGGCGATCTCCCCACCAACAGCAGTACTGCGCTCGCCAGCTGTTACAGGTCTCACAAAGACGTATACACGGAATGATTTTCGCGAGTTAAGGCAGTTACCAAGTGCAAGGCAAAATACGAGTAGGTTGCCGAGTATGCATGTCGATGTGGGTGTTTTTCTTTTTTTAGTACTCAGACATCTAACTACCGCATGCAGGATTTCCTCCAGGTCGAAATGTCATCTTCACCACTCGTTCAGCCTGTAGCGCCTTCGGGAGATATGTTGAATCTTTCCCCATCGTTTAACATGGGACAAGAGAATGGGTACATTTAGAATTTGGAAATGTTGTTGTTGTCGTCAGTGTTGTCCTTGTTGCTTTGGTTTTGAGTCGGATCATATTGCGTGCGTGCGGTACATTGTCCTTGTCCTAGTTCTTTGTTCTTGGAATGTAATGTGTAAGATAAGATATGTCTGTATACTACAATGCTACAAGCCCATGCACTGCCATAATAAATCATCAAGTCACGTCGCAGAATCAATAAATAAATCTAGCGTGGACGTCGTCTTCGAACGTCATGAGAAGAGGGGTGCGGTAGATCTGAGGCTGGGGATAGGGATTGTTGTGATAATGGTGGCAGCGAGCGGAAATATCGATCCATATCAGATTGGTCGAATTCTGATGGGGGCACAGGTGAGAACGGCGATTCCGGTTCCAATTCCAGTTCCGATGACGACTTGGTAGCCGTTGCTGTTGGTTTCAATACAACATCAGGCACCTTCGCCCTCCCACTCCCAATCCTATATATCCTCTTCCTCCTCGCCTTAACAACAGGTCTCTCACCCACCTGCTCCTTACTCAACGTCCTCGGAGGAACACTCCGTACCGTGAAATGAGCGAGCGGGCGTGTATAAGGTGATAATGTGTGGTTCGACTGGGATAGGGTGCTTAGTTGGGAGATGGTGTTGTTGAGAGCGGGGCGGAGGATGACGGGGTCTGGATCCGGGTCTATGGCGTGCGTGTGCGTGGTACTCCAGGTGTCGAAATGGTTTATATTAGAGGAGGAAAAGACGGAGAGGCGACGCGAGGAAAGGGGTGATTTGAGGGAGGTCTCTGCATTTGTGTTTGTGTTTGTGTTTGTGTTTGTGGCTGCGTCTGGGGGTGCGATGGAAGAGGGTGGGGTGTCGATGACGCCGCTGCTTGAGGAGAATTGGGTTTCGAGGCTAGAGGGAGTAATGGGGCGAGATAGGTGGGATTGTGTGGGGATATCGTATCCGGGCTCTGACCGTGTGTGGAGGCGCGGCACGCCATAAAGCGCAGGAGTAACAGGAAAATACGGGTTGAAGTTAGAATGCTGCTGATGAGAGGATAAGCGGGTGGGATGCGACGGACGGGACTGAGGGCCTGAGCGAACAGAGGTTGCATCTTGCAAATGGGATGTTTTTGAAGGAGTCTGAATCATAGATTGGGAATGGTATACTCGCGGACGGGTAATAGTGCCACCACCCACTGCAGGCAGCGTTTCGTATTCCGTGACAGGCTCCTCAACGCTAGTTGGGGGTGGTGAATACTCCGGTACTGAATCTTCCCAGTCGACAACATCGAATGAACCCTGCTCTTCTTCGCCTTCCAAGCTTTCGTCTTCTCCGGGCTCTTCAGCAAGATCTCCAAGACCCATGTTACGTGTGAAGAGGCGGCTGAAGGATGAGAAGACGCTCTTTGTTGGGAGCCCTTCTGGACGGAGGCCGTATGTTGGGTCAAAGATTTCTTGCTCGGGATTGGAGGAAGATGTGTCTGATACTGGCGGACTCATGTGGAAGGGAGTGGGGGAAGTTCGGATACTTCTACGAGCTGAACTTGATACGGAAGCACCTGATATGGAGCGTGCGCGACTGTAAGAGAGGGAGCCAAGGGATTGTTGGCGGAGCATGTGCAACCCGATACCAGAAATGCCAGGTGATATGTATGCAAGGTCAGGTGCAGAAACAACGTCGAAAGCTCGGGGTCGCGATATAGGTGCTCGCTTGTCGAGATATGGCGCCTCTACTTTGGCTTTTACCCACTGTTGACTGAGACGATGTATGATTCCCGGTAGATCCTCCCTGAACATCTGCCTAAGTTGGCCTTCGATCTCGCGTTGGATGAACTTCTGGATTACAGCGATGGAGTCGAATGTGCTATTTATATCTACGTTCTGGAGGGGATCTGTCTTGAATACGAGTGTGATGCCTTTTTGCTTTGAGACGACTAGGACGACATAAGAGTTGAGTTTGAAGTGGGAGAGGCGGAGGAGCATTGGAACTACAAGAGGGTCTTTGGCAGCCAGCATGCCACGAGAGCCTGTCATGATATGTATATCAGGTTGCTTGTGATTCAAGGGATTTGCCTGACGAAGAAATTGTTAATATGACGGAGCGAATGGGATACAAGTAGCTAAACACCTGCACTTTGGTCTTGAGTACGATATGTGCGTCTCCTGCGTAAGTGAAACGAAATATACCGCGAAAGTGGTCCATTGTCAAGTCACCGATATCCCGAATTTCGAGTTCTGGTGGCTGTCGGGTGGTATGAGGAGTGAGGTGCGATGAAGTTTGAACCGTGCAGAACCCACCTGCGTTCCCATTTCAAGTTCTACGACTTCAATCTTGTCAGCGATGACTGGCGGTTTGTTACCCTTGTTGAGGGCGTTATTGAGCATCTGGATAGCATCTGTGTGAAACTGGTCGGAAAAGCGTGGCCATTCGAATGTGAACGACATTTCTGTGTGTTGACTGCTGTCGTTTGCAAGACAGCCAGCATTCAAAAGATTCGAAGATGACCATAAGACATGGCCGTGGAATAGTGTCCTGAGCCCAAATTAACACTGCCATCCCCGAGGCCATGTAGCGTAAATTTGCAAGTTAACTAATTAGCACTAATTTACTTGTAAATTTGACGAATTTAACGGGTAAATGTGGTTCTACAGCCAGACTTTTGCATCCGGAAGTGCCTCTAACGTGCACCTCGGATTCACGTTTCGGGGTGTTTCATCCAGCAAGTCTCGCAGATAGGGAAGATGCAACTCCATATGTGCATTTGCCCCCACTGCAAGCAAGAAGTATGAGCCATCAACCTTGTCAAACTGGCTCGTCAGTCCACGTACCTCCGGCTTGTACACCTCATCCCAGTTGAACCACACATTATCGCCTTACACGTGCTCACCCGCCCATTTCCCGGTACAGTGTTCCTCTGAGGACAGTGAGTAAGGAGCAGGTAGTAGGTAAGAGACCTGGCGTTAAGGTAGACAGGAAAAAGATGTATGGGATTGGTATGGGAGTGGGAGTGGGAGGGCGAAGGTACCTGATGTTACACTGAAGCCAACTGGTTGGAACTGTCACTAGAACCAGAACCAGAACCAGAACCGCTGTTCTCGCCTGTGCCTCCATCAGAATTCGATTAATCTGATATGGATATATTTCCGCTCGCCACCACCAAACCCTTGTCCCCAGCCTCAGTTCTACCGCGCCCCTTTCGAAGACGGTGTCCACACTGAAGAAACGGCGTGCAAACTGAACGTGGACTGTAACTTAACGCTGAGCTCTCAGTTGCGTGTATTATTGAATTGGTGTTGATACAATTTAATCAATGGCGGGTTGGTGGGCGGGGGGGTACACGTTGTACGAATGGCTATGGGACTATCACTAAAAGAAACAAGATCATAGCATCTTCAATTAAACATTCCTTTGATTCTTCCTCGCGCTGTCAGCCCTTCAAGTTCGAGTGAGCCGATTCCTGATCTCTTCTCAAAGCGCCATGCTTCCACAAGAGCCCTCGCTTCAAAAGGGAGTACCTCAGGATCGCTTGTTCCAACCGTTATGTGCAAAGCATTTCGGATTTCCTCCGACAGTTTCGACACAAACTCACTCCCTTCCTGACCTGCAGAAGAGTGACTGTCTGGTGAACCGTCGAGCTCGAAGTCATCCACCGCAATGGCCATAATTCGTTCGTTCCAGACCAAATGACCGAGAGTGAAGGTGAACGAGGGAGGAAGTGCCATTTTATGGAGTTGTGAGCACCGCTTCCACAGTTCAATGGCATCGGGGAGGGATTTGCTGTGCACTATAGTGATATGGGGGCGCACAGTGACACGATGTCCGGCAACGAGGGTATTCCAGAACGCTTTCCCATTTTCTGGTACGTCTGATGCGTTTTCCATTTGTTTCCCAATGACATCAATGAGATCAACTTCCGGCAGGAGTCCGAAGTAGCGCGGCATAGGTTCTTCATCTTTCTTTTTCTTCTTTTCTTCTTGAGGCTTTTTTATCCGAGGCACGTAGTTACGGGCCTTGCACACGGCCTCGTCGATATCATCTGCACTTGGCTGTCGAAGGCCAAGGATGCCGACGCACGCAGCGACTGCACGGTCTACAGTTTGCTCAAGGGTATCTTCGATGTCCATTTCTATCCTCACGTCTACCTCTTCGTCGGAAAGCTCCTCTGAATCACGGATAAACTGCCATATGACGTCTTCGTGCGCCTTAGCCAGGGTGTCAGCACGAAGTTTCTGGTGCTTATCGCCACGCGCGAAAACTCTGTCACCACATATCCGATGGATTGTTGCTTGAGGCCGATCGAGCGACCAATTCAACGCGAGGAGACGAACAGGGGGGTCCATTTTGGCAACGGCATCGCGTAGGGAGTCACGATGTTGCCTGAGGTGGTTGTTCCTGCAGCAGGTTAGTACGAGTGGGATCACGAGATCCAGCATGATCCATACTTGTCGGCTATAACAATATCATGGTGCTCCAAGAGGTTGACGACATTCCTGATGAACGCGGGAGCGGATTTTTTCGCTTGTATATCGTCGCTCTGGGTGTGACCGAAATCGAAGAGAGAAGTAAGCGCAACGGAAACAGCGGTCTTACCTGTGAAGCAGAAACTGTAAAGAAAGGCACGAGACAGAAATTGGGTGCTCACCACACCCGGGAATGGCAACAGGCAAAATTATCGACTTCCCAAACTCCTTGGTGGTTGGTGGCGTCTCACTCTGTACGGCCAACCCCTTCTTCCCTTCGTCGGTCTCCATCCATTTCAAGAATCTCTCGCGAGTGGCGATGATGCCTTTGCCTTTCAAATATTCCGAAAACGCACTGGGATTATGCCTTATTTCCTTCTTTACCCATTCGACATAAAGGTGGGTATCCCTCCGCTTCAGCTTCGACTTCGGCAATTTGGCGTCGTTGAGCGATCCTTGTGTCGACAACAGAATTTTGGTGACTTCCCGCCAGTCGCGATACATCATGTACGGTTCATCAAACTTTACTTTGAAAAAGAAAGAGGATCCTGTTGGGTAAGGAGGACGCGCATTGCGAGTGGTAGACTCCTGCTTTGGATCGATGATGTGCGTACGGACTACAAATCCCTCAAGTGCTTCGCCGTTCCATTTTCCAGTTTTCGCAATATCGTCGGTGAAGGATTTCACCTCTGAAATCGAGTTCAGGGTGATGACAGGCGTCTTTATAAACCCCCATTCTTCTGCGAATGCGTCGACCGTTTTTGTAGGCATAGTATGAAATCCTTTCGAAGTCTCGTTGATTCCGTGGAGATGTAGACCCGACTTCTCGGCAGAATAAGGAAGTATATGCTCCTCGAAGCTGTCGTCACAAAGCTGTGAAGTATAGTTAGCTCGAGAACTTTTGCTTGCTTGTATGCATCACATACCTCGGCGATGGCTGTCCATTGCTTATCCCACAATCTCGATGCCAGCTGTTCCTCGGTTTTGCCCTTTTCTTTCAAGTGCTTCTTGAGCCACCGACGACCAACCTCTGAATGTGTTTCTGATACCCCTTTCATCGGTCCCAGCGCATGTTTGGACGTGACGATCAGCTTCGAAGGAGAAATGGAAGCAACAAATATGATGCATCCGTTAGATTTGAGTGATAGCGTATATGTGGGTCCTGTATGTAAGGAGAGTGTTGACCACTGCGAACGAATTCCAATGAGATGATGTCGGGCGGTTTGACATGGAGACAACTCACATCGGTCCACGGGACCTCACCGATGTTGAAAAACTTATCATATCCCCGAGCTACGATTTGGTACTTTTGCTCTCCATTAGGATCATCTCCACGTGGAAGTTCACGGCTGAATAGACCTCTCGCTAGCGTTGGAAATGGCGATGGAACGTCATAATACTTGAACTCATTCATCTTCCAGCTTCGAACAGAGATGGAAGGATCCGAAGGCGTGGTATACACCGTTGATCGTACTAGCTTGGGCGACTTCTTTGAGAGTCGGTGTAGATCATCGATGAGCTGAGAATCCTCCGCGCGCATGCGAGTCATAGTATGTGCCTGCAAAATGCAGGTGATATAACAATGGAATGGCAAGGACTCCGACTGAGGATATGTGGTAGGAAATGGCTGGTCTTCATTAAGATTGTGCGCTTATAAGCTTACATAATTAGCTTTACTTGGCACACCTAGTCAGATCTAGTCAGATTATCTGACTAGATCTGACTCAGATTCCAAGCCGTCGCCGTTTGCAATTACTTCACGCTGATTTTTCACTAGTGCTAATGTGACCGGCCTTGGAACCGTACATGGTGGCCAGCCACAGTGGTCTGTCCATGTTAGTATCTATGCTCGAGCCACACTATAATATCTTGAATTCAAGGTCTGTCTCACAGTTGCTGGCTCCGGCATAGCACGTCATATCCTATTCATGTAAGAGCAATCTCGGCACGGAAGATCAGTTCTCACCGACACCCTCGATAGCTTCTGCGACCATTCATGCCGTGTAGGTAAGCTCACATTGTCCTAACCTCTATCCAGCGGTATTGTTGTTGAATCAGACGAGGAAGGGCGGATTCACATTCCGCAACCGTGATGAGCTGTCCGCCATGCGTGTAGCTGAGATGACGCTGAAGTATGCTCGAACAGTGAAAAGAGAACATCCAGTGACGAATTGATTGTGGTCGCATGAGAAGTTCGACCATGATGGAGGAAGAGTATAACCATGACCTCCTTAATCAGTATAAGACACGCTCAGGAATTGTCTCATGGACATGTATTGAGACAACCGTTTGTAAATGCCGCTGTAATTCTGAATGTCTAATGTTGGGCGAGCCTGTTCGCTGTGTCACACAGCCGATGTCCTTGAACCCGCTATACGATCCACGATCTGCTCCGGTTAGTTTAACTCGAACGTTCAGCGACGTTGATAAATGACACTTACAGGTCGAATGTATGGCAATGACAATAGGTTGCCAATGAATGGCAATTGACGCAGGAATGTCACGACCACGGGAAAGAAGTCACTGAACCTAGCTATTAGATCAAATTCTTCGTTATGAGATGTCCCACGTACCCAAACAGGTTTAAGAAGCCAAATATCTCAACAATCATTCCAATGAATGCATACTTCATGAACACGAGCAGAATACCGCCAATGAAGCATGCTGTTCCTCGAAGCTTTTGCTTTCGCGCGAAGAAGTAGAATGTCTTCTGAGGGCCAATAATCAAGGTAAGACCGGATAAGAAGAGCATCTGTGCAAGAGCTTGATGTGAGCAAAAAATGGAAGGCGGGAATTGGGGTTACATACATTTCCTAGCGCTAGCAAAGCAGCGTCGAAGAACAACATGACACCAAGGAACATGAATAGTGTCCCGAAGGTCGTAAGGGCCACGCCAATTTCTAAGATCATGATTCTCATTCAACAACCAGAGCAGACAGAGCTTGGGTAAACTGACTTTGCGCATCAGACAACCACATGTCTCCAGAATTCAAGGTGTATTATGCAAGAACTTCTGGAATTTTTGAAAGCGTAGCTATCGCTGGAGAGAACGGTGGAATGAGAACTAGACTGCGTGGCGAGCTGTGTCCTGGCACTGGACAGGTTTGTGAATGCGCGGAAGCAGTGTGTGCATGTGACTGACACGTCACATTGTTTGAAGTTCTACTTACATCAACGTTAACATTATTATGTAATGGCATTGTGTAGCCTACTACTTGGCATTATAGTCTTAATGGTATGAGGACTAGGCTACTATCTTCGAGGGAGACGACTAGTACTTAGGCCAAGTGTTCTACATAGGATTCAGATTGCCTTGTAATACTTAGTAAGGACATTCAGGTTCAACGATCTTTTGCTATTGCGATGGCAAGAGATCATCTGGACAATGAACATAGCCATGACTCTAAAGAGATAAAGACGTCGAGACACCAAATGATAGCTTTGAGTACACTGGGACAGTAAATGGTATCGTATTGTCCACAACGGTACACAAGTCGGGTGCAATGACGAAAGAAAAATTGATGATAATGGTATGTATAGATCTGAAATATCGCTCAGTTTAATAAATGAGGGTGAACGAGGAGACGTGTCACGGACATTCTACCAGTCAGTTAAAATCCAAAAGCACCAGTATGGGCGCCTCAAACACTCTCTCCGCGTCGTTGTTGCTCCTTGGCGGCAATAACTCTATCATACGACTCCCTCAACGGACTTCGGTGCGCAAGGATGGACACATGTGCACTGAGGTAGGGTGGTGGGAGTAGCGGGTGCACAGTTTCAAGGTTGGTGTACAGACTAGCTGCAGGAAAGTGCGAGGTATATTGCGGTGTTGACGGACGGGTGGTGGGAAGTTGTGCAAGTGATGACAACGCTTGTACAGAGCTCGATGAAGTTGATGACATGGATGACAGGGTACGAGTGCGGTCATGTACAACCTTGAATTGGAGTGGTTGGATATGTGCTTGACTCGGAAGAGTGACCACCGAACGTGCGGATGATATTGATGTCTTGCGATTAGGTGGTAGAGCATGCGCAGTCTTGATACTAGATGGCGAAGTGCATATTATATCCTCCGTATCATAGGTCTGAGTACCGGATATGTGCGCTGGAGCAGCTTCGGATGTGATGGTGAGTGGAGCGAGAGGCACCATCCGTGGTGTCACTGGAGCTGCATGGCCATATGACTGACCTCGGATAAGTGGATGTGGGCGTAATGGTGCATCATTTCTGCTTGTTGTTGAATGAGTAGATGGTGGGCGTGTGACTGACTGGCGTTTGTGTGGACGTGAGCGATGAATAGGCGAAGTGTTCTCTGAACGAGTCTCCATGATACGGCGCTCAGGAGAAGGGTGCTGAGCGAGATTGGACTGTTTCACTGGATGTCTAGATGTGGCTAGTGCTGGAGCCGGTGATGCACGTGCAGCTGACACAGCTACAGCTGATAACGCTCGAGCTGGTGCATCGGGGGGACGGATGGTAGGCACCCGTGACATAGAAGGCGGTAGTGCTCTTGGAGTTTCCGGTCGATGTATGAGTTCATCAATGGGCGGAGCCGCGGGGAGCGAATGTTTGTGCGTCTCGACCGGTGTCCGGGACCTGCCACTGTCGGAGCTCACACTGCTCGGAGTCGCTGCCCCGCTCTCGCTAGAGATCCACTCATCGTCTTCATCCGCACTTTGGCTAGCGATAGTAAATCCAGCTTTAGGTTTGCCAGTTGTCGTTGCCTGCCGCTGGTTTGAGGGAGGTACATGCCGCTGTGTTTGAACTGGTAGCTGCTCCCTTGAAGCAAGATGTGTCGAGCTATTTACTCGAGGAGGATAAGGCGAAGTATTTCTTGAATGCGACTAAACGAGAGGGATCACGCGGTTCAGCCAAATTTGAGGGGTTAGTATTGATGGGACGCACGTCATGAACTAAGCCGTTTTTCTTCGTTCTTTCGGCTTGCTTCGCTGGAGCAGGATCCTTCTGCGTGAAGTGAAGGTTCAGTGCTGCTTTGGAGGAGCCCCCCGACGATGAACGGGAGTGTGTACGGGGGAGGCCCGTTGCGCCAGCGCGGTGAGCTTTGGGAGGCATGTAAGAAATCAAGTAGAATTATTGGGTCTCCGCTAAGTGATCACTGTAATTTGCAGTCCCGACAACAAACAACAACCATAGACCATGCCCACTGGGGGCCAACGGACGTTTTGTTCCTTCAGAATGGTACTTGGGAGTTTGAGGCTTGTGCGAAGCATGTGTGGGTTCATCTATCACCACGCCCTTCATGCCACCTCAGGGCTGCTGAATATCGTGTCCGACACAACTTTTTAGGCCCCGAGTTTGCATTTCTGTATGCATTTTCTCTGTGAAAAGGTCATCAGGAAAGCCAACGTCTGCTTCATGACATGAAGCTGTTCGACGCTTGTCCCACCTGCCACTTACAATAGCAAGTATATGATCCAAGGCTGAAAGGCACAAGTCTGTAAATAGCTACTGCCCGAATATTCTATCACAGGACGAACACCGGGAATCGGAGAAAGTTCTCCAGTTCCATTAGGTGCGTTTCGATCCTCATCGTCTGGCACGGATATCTAATATCACGTAACTATCACGTAGGGGGAGATCCAATTGAAATCCTTTATCCTTCTATCTCCCAGATCATAACTGTGAATCGTAACAGTGAAACAACAATACCCCAGGCGCATCGCAAAGCTGAGGGAAAGACCCGTAGAATGATTTCGGGTCGGACGTCAGGATTGCTTTTTTGAATGCATCAGACAGTATCGCATCTGAGTTTTTCGGTTATTGAATCCCGGCGTACCCATCCGTATTCACTAGTCGCTGCGTTTGCCCTTTGCGGCACTGTCGCTCTTATTTTGGCCCTCATCATTACGAGGCGGTCCAAAGTCTCTCCCTGCGACAGGCAACCCCTCCATATAAATATCAGTCCTTTGTTGGCATATACAGTCTGGAAGAATATATACGGTGGGTCTACATATACCGATGATCAGAGAATCGACCGACATTTTTCAGGTGACCTGATCCGTGTTGTATTGGTACTGGAAGTGATTGTATACTCCTTTCTAATCTGAGCTGCAGCTCATGTCTTTTCGCAGTTATGTCGTGGAGCGGAGCATGATTGTGTTACGCTATGAATCAGTACCAGGATCTCATAAAATTTTCCATCATGTATTGAGGCAGATTCCTCACTTCGCCAGCGTGATATCCACTTGCACAGAATCCGGACCCCTCAAGGTTTCGAGGCACGTATTCACGTTCAGGGGCTAGTAATCATGTATAGCATATGCTGATGCCTGAGCAGCTTTATCGCAGTAAATATCAATATCATGGGGATCACGGTTGTATACGAAATGCAGTCGGCAGAGAAGACTTGTTTCTGCCGTCGCGCAATCGGTCAAAACCCTTACGTACGGGTAAACTCCTCAGAGAGCGGCCATTCTCTCAGCATTTCCTTTTCATGAGTTGACATTGATCATATCAAGTGTAGGCTGGGGGGTTCTTCAGTTCGACTTATCGCCGCCTGGTTTTCCGGTGCAAGCGTTATGCATTGATGCATTGTACTCAAGAAAGTCGATTTAAAAGGTGCTTGATGTACCTTTCGAATTCGCCAAATTGAAGATCGTGACTACTCTCACAATTTATTACAGGTAAAAAAACATTGTAGCTGATTTGATTGAGGAAGCGTGGACTACTCCACAATCTATGGTGTCTGACTGCTTGGCGCAAATAGGCGAGAAAGATGACCTTGAACCACGGAGTTCGCAATGAATACGGCGGCGGCGGCGGCGGCCTCAGGCTACATCGGTGAGCGCTACCAAACCCTTTCTTCCACTGCCTCAATATTTTACCTGTTCCACTTATAGCCGCTCCATCCAGAAGTTCAGGCCAAGCCCAGTCCGAAATTGACACTGTTGTAGTAAGTTCGATGAGGCCGAAATACTTCAAAGACAGACCTCCATTGCCTTATGATGAAGCTATCATTGGAGACATGCTAAGCTGGAACACCGTAATACCACTATCACAGGTATGTGTCATCACATCAAGAGTTGATCATTTATTACTCTGGTCAGGGATCCCTCATACTACGTTAAGTGAGGATACAACTCAGGGCTACTTGATACCAAGGGTTTGTAATTGCACATTCAGCGATGGATCTCACTGACTCTGGCAGGAACATAGGTAATCATTATTTACTGGTATGCGGTTTTTCCTTTTCGTTCTGAATGCAAACACGCCTTCTTGCAGGGAGATGAGAAGAGGTATCTTGATCCAGATAAATTCTGACCCGAGAGGTACTTTGGCTTAGACGTGGTCAGGTCACTGAATTTGGATCCAAACACGAACGAACTGATGTTCGGCTTTGGGCGAGGCAACGGACGCTCCCAACGGAAGACGAAGAACGACGTGTTAACTTTGGACAGGTCCTGTATGGTATGTTGTGAGCTGCTACCTCGCAACGTTTTGTATAGAGAAGGCGAAAAGTGTCGATAGCTGTGGGATTAGAGCTTACAACCGGGATGGCGATGTCCGTCGATTATGTTGACCTTTCTGGTTTTGCGAGCTCATCCAGTTCAGTTCCGTTGCGCATTTGTATGTCGTTCTGTGCAAAAGGAGAAGTTGATCAGAGAAGGCACTTGACCGACCCCTGACTGACAAGCTCAGTTTTTTATTTCACATAGCACTTTGCAATGCGGGATGAATGGCAACTCCCATTGCTTCTAAACCCGACACCAGACAAAATAGGTACGGTCCAAAAGTAAGCACCACGACGATGCGTCTCGCAATGAGACAAGTTTACTATATTCAATTTCATAACTACGATTCTGGATACCTATCAATAATGACCGATAATCCGCACTCACAACGGACCGTGCCGCATTGACGTTGCTGCCTGCAATCAGCTGCAATCGTTCCACTAAACCTCTCGCATATGCCAACTTCGTCTGAGATAGCAACGCTCGGTTCGACACCGAGAACGTGCTGGAACGCGGGCCTGGATCTTGTACCAAAAAAGAAAGCTTTTTGCCCACGTGGAAATGGTAGTAGCATCTCTTCGCCGCAGCGCGTATCAGGTATATCGGAGCTAAGCTTGAAGCATTCTGCCTAAGAATATCAATCAGTACGGGCGGTGTAAAAG